CCCAAATTTAGAGAAACCTTATCATGGCACAGGTCTATGCCCTTTTCAAGAGTGAGTTGAAAGAGTTTATGTGACATCCAAGTAAGTAAATGAGGAGTAAATGAATGAACCAAAACTACATCTGAAAGAGAGCGATTCTGAGGATGAGTAAGAAGAGCTTAAAGGAATTCCATGGTTAACGGTTAAGCATGATTTGTTTGGAACAATTCTATGTTGAGTGACCTCCTAAAAGTTTTCTTAGAATGCATGTGAGTAAAGATAAAACATATTGAAAGGACTTGTGTTGGTCTATCGAGATAGTTTTCACTCTTACGAGCGAGAATTAAGTAATGTGACCATGTCACAAGGGATGCAAGGGAATATCGAGGCTATCAGGTGCCAAAATCATATTCTAAATCTTGATAGTAAGATGTGGTGTGGTTTGTGGACATACCAACGTGAAAGCTAGTGTACATGTGACACTTGAGTAAAGGAGAGACACATGAACGAACTAAGACCATCCGAATGAGAGCGATTTTGAAGATAGGATGACAAAGAAAGGTTTAAAGGAAATGAAAGTTAATACCTATATCAATAAAATGCACATATCTTTTCCATGGCTGAATTATAAAAACTTCATTTTTTAGCCTGTTTTGCTTGGAGCAATTCTATATTGGGTGACATCCTAAAAATTTTCCTAGAATGCATACGAAGACTTGTGTTCGTGGCCCCTTGTTCACATCTCAATTAGCAAAAATCTGAGGCCCTAATATACTCCCTGTAGCCATGAACAAGAGTAAGTGTACTTACCAACTTCATGGTTAATGGTAAGAATATATAGAAAAAGAATAAATCAGATATGAACAATAGCCTTACAACAGTATCTTTATTATCTCAATTTTCTATTATCATCAAATTCTTATCAAATATGAACAGTTACAAATGATTCAAATCAAAACAATTTCCTCTTAAACATTTACATCAGACGGTTACCCAAAATATGGCACACTCCTGCTGTAGTCTCCATTTCCCCTTACCTAATGACAGGAAAATACACAGGAAAATGCTGAGACAAGAACAGAATTCATGGCAGAGAAACACAGATGCCCAATAAAAGATCTCATTTGAAAGAAAAACAAAGGATCTAACAAGCATTCAAGTTGAAGCACAGACAGCCACTGCTCCTGCATGTTCTTCATCTCCATTTAAGTCAACACTCGAGAGATCACCTAACCACCAGTCGAGATGCACGCTAACTAAAAGTTTTCGCCTGAGTTTTGCATCAAATATTAGCTCATGAACTTCTGCCAATAACATAACTTGATCAGGGAAGAATAAGAGGTGGAATCAAGTTCATTGTTCGAATACTCAAATACAGCCTCACCTGAAGAAACCTCGCCCAACCAACACAGCAGAGAGAGTGAACCTCCCCTAGTGTCCATGGACATTAGTGATTGCTCATCGAAAGGGAAAGTGCACCGACATGCTACCATCTGTAAGTTGCATAATGCAATTTTTATTCTACTCTCTCTCCACCTAATCCGAATGGCGGAAGACGATGTATTTGGACACACAGGAAGCTTCAGAAATCATTAATCTGCCATTGGCTTTCTAGAGGTAAAAGGGCACCAGATTTATAATCAACATAACAGCGGAGACGCAATGCATATACATGTATTTCACATTATCTCTAACCATCTACTTTTATCCTTGGCTTTTTTCAGATTAGTTTCTTGTCCATACACTAGATAGAAGTATCATAATAAAACTCTCGTGTGAGTGTCAAGTTACCCTGATTATCCAACAGAGCATGAATTCAAGCAATGGTAAGAGGAAGATAAGCACAAATGCTTCAAACTACAAGAATTCAGTAGCTATATCTGAATAGGTAACAAAATCTAATCTAATCTAATGACCTCTGAGTGATGTTTTAATTCTACCTAATGAATGGTTATCGATAAATATGCTTGGAAATGATATTCAGAAATGATGACAGAAAATTTGAAATTACCTACGTAGCATTCAAAAATATCCAACAGGAAAGATTTTTCCCTTATTCCTATTGCCATTGCGTTTGAAAGCACCGATGCTGGAATGATGAAAGATGATTCGAATGTAGAAAGTTATAACACAGTTGCGACATCTCTGTGATATCATAAACAGGATAAGAAAAAAGAAAGCACCATCTGACAAGAATAAAGCTATAACAAATAACACATGCTGAATGATATCCCAATAAAACATCGATAAAATCCACAGGAAGATTGCACTTCATCAAAACAAAACTATAACGTCAGATGTCACTTTTATGAGATTTTTTTTGCTGTAATCCAAGCATAACAGAAGCTCTACAAATGAATCTAGGAGTAAATATTGAAAATTAAGTTGATTTCAAAAATACGATATTGTATAAACAACGAGCACATGCAAAACTACGTGTACAAACAGTTGGTAACATTACAAATTGAATCGAGGATAGCATACTGTGTACTTGGGAAAGCATTTGTGTCGCCTAAGTACGTGTAGACTAGATAGAGAGATTTGCACAGTAACTCACAGAGAACATCAGCTGGTCCATTCAGAACTCTCATCTTGAGACATACTTTATTGAGATGGTAGAACAAATTACTGAGAAAATGAGAAACCTTTTGAAGATGTAACCCCATAAAAAATCAGTGTCCAATTAACTTTGTAATTTATAAATGGAAGTAAAGAAAGAATATGAGCTCCTTTTGAGCTTTCTGCTAGATTCATCTAGTACCAGTCTACAGATCTCTTTTCAGCCATTGGCCATTGTGGTATTCAAAGCTTCCAACTGAGTTGTAGAGAAAGGAGGCACCCTTTTCCTTGCCAATGATAGGATCAACTGAGCCTTACCAGGCTGCCCCATCTTGTTGAGACCTTTAAGTAATGAATGAATTGTATCAATGTTTGGAAACCAATTCTTGGTCATGGCATCTTTGCACATTGTATATGCCATGTTGAAATCCCCACTTCTGCATAGGTAATGAATCATGGTTTGATAAATTTTGACATTTGGTTTATATCCACTCCCATGTAAAGCAGAATAAACCCTTTTCGCCATATCAAGAAACCCGGCTTGGCAAAAACCTTTTATTACCAGATTGTAAGTAACCTCATCAGGTACAATCCCAATGTTCCTCATCACATTCATCAATTTATTAGCATCCCATGCTCGTCTCCTGTCAACCAAATATTGAATTCTCACATTGAAAGAAGCAAGATTGGGCAAACAACCCCTCAAAACCATTAGATTCCACAGACCATTACTAATTTCACATTGATTGTACTTGTACAAAGCCGAAATTAATGTCGTATAGGTAACCACATCTGGTCTTATTCCCACCTTCTCCATTTCTAAGATGAGAAGATAAGCTCTATTTAAAATACCCATGTCACAAAAAGCCTTAACAACAATGTTAACAGAAATTATATCCAACTCAATATTGAATTTTTCTGGAGCTTCTCTCAAAAATGCCTCGAGAGCTCCTAAATCACGGGCCTTCATCAAAACCTTAAGCACCGCATTAAACGACTTAACAGTCCTACTGCATCCATATAAGTGCATATTATAAAAAGTGTCAACAGCATGCTTGATCATCTCAGCCTTACCATATAGCACTATAATCCTTATAATGAATCCTTCACGGCGCCCCTGTGGAAGAGTCTTCTGATGCTCAAGTAAATGCTCAATGTAATCAAAGCGACGAGCTCCAGCCAGTCGAGACACAGTGTCTTCAAAAGCAAATCGATTCTCAATCACAAGCCGATTGTGCGCATTGGCTTTAAACAGATGGAACAGCTTCTCAGGGTCCCGCTCTGCTTTAAGCTTTATAAGGGCAGGCTCCTCGACGGGTTTCGAGTTCTGAACGTGATTCAACACAGCCATAGAGGTCTCTGTAGATACAATGACGGTAGCAGCATGGCAGAATCTGCGAATAGGTCGCAGAGAGAGCATGTTCTAGGCGTCTCCTCAGGAAAAAGAAATCTACCCGTCCATCAAAATCAAGATCTAAATCATATTCTTGAGAAAATAGCCACTGCCCCCAATAACAAACTGAAAAACCAAGAAGTAGCAGTGATTTCCAGAAATTCAACCACACCCAGAAGCCAAATCCGACAAATTAATCTCGAAGAACTCTAATCCGTGCATAAACAGCGAGAATGTAAAGAACAGTGATGCAATAACACAAAGAATAATAGAAAAACAATAAGATTTGTTCAGAAAGAAAACGAAAGGGGGCGATTCAGAGAAAAAACCGCCGTGCAAAGAATTGAGATTGGTGTTTGAAGAGGCGAAGGACTGCTGTAAGGGATCCACGCGGGGGAAAGGTCAGAAATTTTACAGGGTTGGATATATTTGTTATTTTCTGGTAGGGTTTTGGGGGTTTAGGTTTCGGTTCGCAAATTGCCATTGTATTTGAACTCATACTTGTAGCGATGAAGGTCCACCATAAGCTCTATGCGCTGCTCAAATAGGCGGAGATCAATATTTACCCTAATTTGTATCCATGTGAGTTATACACTTCTAAATTAGGGATTTAATTGATCGGGATGGTCGGGTTAACAATCCAACTCAACTTTAACTCTTTATTTTTTTTGAGTTGGTCTGAGTTCATCTTACCACTATATCGAAAAAAATATAATTCAACCAAACTCTGTTCTCAAAGAAAAATTATGTTTGGATTGGATAGTCTAAATTGTTCAAGTCTATCATGTCATAAAAAATAATAAAAATATTTTTATTTTTTTTTGAAAATATCGATAAATTTATATTTTATTTCAATATCATTTAATCATTAGTATAGGGAAGAAGATTACAGGCCATGTTTCTTGAATCTACCTCGTTTTTGTAATCTTTTTTTCCGTTGCAGTAATACTGGTTGATTATGATTGGGTTGCGAACTTGGTCTAGTGTGATTCCTCCCTATATTGAAGAAGAGACATGAACACAATTCTTAATGTTTTAAGACATCATCAAATCAAGATTTAGTATTAACCTACCATGTTTTTATCCTTGCTTCATACATAGTTCCTTTCAATGACAATCTTGAACTCTCACTTCTTCTCCAGCGGATGTCTCCCCGTCTTCTCCCAAGCTACCAATACTGAAACAAATAGCCTTCTTAAGCAAGACGTTTCCTCGAGAAGCAAGTAACATATAGTAGTTTTTAAGTGATTAAACCTTATGCCATGACCAGGTCCACACTCGATGTTTGCTAGGTGGATATTGGAAGAGCCTTCACTAATAGCAATACAATCATCACCTGTTATAGTTATAGTAGATACAATTGAAAAATCAATTCCAGAATCACGAGTCTCTACAATAGTATGATATTGTCCATTTTGAGCATAAGCTTTCATGGGTTTGCTTTTGGTTTCCCCAAAAGGTCTCATACCACAGATATATTCCTTATAAACCCATGATCAGCCAACGTGGGACTCCCTCCCAACAATTCTCAACAAACTAAACTGAATTAATATATACTGGGATTGCACTACCTGTTGCAATACTACAATTCTGAATCTTAACATCGGTTGAATAGGCAACATCAATACCATCAGTATTGGGACTATCTTCAGGTGCTAGTATGTTTAATTGAGAGATAGAAGCATGATTGCAACGAACAATATGCATATGACTTTTAGGACTATTAATATGCGTTAATCCAGAAAGACGAAGATGGTCACAATCGTAAACAGCCAACGCCTGTAATCACAATACATATTCAATTGAAACACTCCCACATAAACGTAAGTAACAATTGGTATGACGATTGTAATGAACCGTGGGTCGTCATTTGATTTTCGATGCCACCAACCAGCTCCTTGCCCATCAATTTGGCCACTCCCTTGTATGTCAAGTCCGCTCACATTGGCAAACCACAACCAATTCTTCACCTTAAACTCTTTCCAATCATCAACATCACTTGGAGCCACAACCTTTCCAAGGATCTGCACATCCCAAGTAAGTTACCATAACCATATGAACATAACGTAAAGCAAAGCTAGGAAAAGGCTAATTACTTTAACCCCGACATTGGAGGACATGCATGGGCCTTCAAACTTCACTGGATTCAACAAGAATGTCTTGGAAGATGGCACCAACATAGCTGAGGGCGTTGCAGCCTTACAAGCAGCCATCCAAGCCTTCAAAAATGCCTTTAAACAATGAATCATATCAGAAAACAATAGCTTTAGATGCATAATTTGAGGGTTTGAGTGAGTATATTTACTCGTGAATCATCTGTTTTTCCATCCCCAGCTGCCCCATAATGAACCACATCGATGTTCTTATACTCTACATTAGGACCATCGTTGCCTTTTGGATCATCATTGCCTTTTGGATCATCATTGCCTTGTGGATGATGGTGAAGAGTTTTTAATCCAAATATCAAGCAAATCACGAGTACTAACACCACCAAAAACCTATCTGCAACTAAAAATATCAATTTCAAGTTGTAAATAAGCCTAAAGAAGTTGGGTTTCATGAGAAATTACCAGCAATTTCTTAATCATTGTGGCGAAATTCAAGCACATGTTCTTGAAATTAGAATCCGTGCTTCATTTTATACTCATAATAGTGGCTGATGATTTTTGCATTGAAAATTGAATTAACATAATAAGTTTGAGGATTTAAAAAATTAATGACGAGATTGACAATTATGAAAATAAGTTTACACGTGGCCCAATGGAAATGGTGGAAACTTGGCAAAGTATAGAAGACGACACGTCGGAAAGAAGTGGAAAATTTAGATACTTGCATTGTCCAGTTGGGCCACTACTATTACGACATGTTGTCCAATATTGCTTGCCGACATCTGGGTTGTTGCCTCCACCAACTGTCAATCATGCATCTCTTCTCTTGTCGCTCTTTCACATAAAATAAATCAATTATCCTAAGTTTATAATTCTGCCCCTCATCTTTAATGAATTTCTATTTTTGGTCCCTCAAAACCCAATAAATTTCAAAGTTAGTCACCAAAAGAAAATTTCAGGCTAAAATAACATTTTGTGAGTAATTTTTATATTCTTCCAATAAATCTATTATTATTCTTATTATTATTATTATTTTTGTTGTTATTTTAAAGTATTATCTATTTCACGTGCCCCTTATAATATTTTTTAGAAGGCATGAAAATTATTATTATTTAACCAATTTCCATAAAAATAAATTTATTTTCAAATGATAAATTTAAGATCTATAATCCATGATGGATGAAATTTGAAGTTGAAAGGGTGGTTTTGCAATTATTTAAAAGACGTGAAAATAAATATAAAAAAAAGTGAGGGGGGGGTAAGAAAAAGAAAACTAATGCATGCCACGTGTCAGGTAGGAGTTGGTAGCAGAGTTTAAAATAAACAGAAATTATATAGAGTGGGTCCCACCTGAGTTTGACCGTTTTCTGAGAAGTCTTGTTTTTGTGGGGGGTTGAATGAAAGTTGACTGCTTCAATCTTCATGTTTACCTCAACGCTCCCACCGCCTTTCTCTGCCACGCTTTGCCCCCATCACCATCACTCACACTTCTCATTATTATTTTAATACTTCTATAATTTTTAATTTGGTATATTTTTTTTTAAGTAAATTATAAAAATTTCAACCAATAAGACAAAGCCACGATAATTTATACTGAAAATAAATAATATCCTACCATTATAAAGAGGGTATTTAAAGAAGAGAGAGTTAGAATCTTAGAGTTTGTTTGTGTTTCTAGACAAGTGTAGAGGGCCACGCATGCAATTAAAATCTCCATCTTCATCTCCCCCACTTGCCAACTAAATTCCACCATCCATTTTCAAAACAATACCCAAAATAAACACCTTCCGCCACCCATGTCTTCCATTCTCACCTCTCAAGGTCTCGTCATTGCCACCGCCATGGTCGTCTCCTCCACCGCTCTCTTCCTCGCCTTCTCCAAGCACCACAAGATCAATCCCCTCCCTTCCAAAGCCCTTCTTTCTTCCTGCTTTTCCTCTGGTAAATCCCCTTTTCTTTTCTTCAATCATGTTTTGAACATAAGAAGCTGAATCTTGGTGGGTTTTTGATGTTGAATTAACTTAAAACTTGATGGGTTTTTGTGAAGTTTGTGTTTTTAGTGTTGTTTTGAAGATTTGGGGCTGAAATTTTGGTGGGTTTTTGATGTTTTTGTGTTTAGACAAGAGGAAGAAGAAGAAGAAGAAGAAGAAGAAGGTGAGATTTGCAGAGGATGTGAAGGAGCCAAAAGGGAATGGAGAAGAGTACAGAAGAGAGCACGATGAGAGAGTGGGTATGGCGGAAAGAAGAAGAACAACAACAAGTAGCAGCTGCTGTCGAAATGAAATTCCTGCAAATCGTGTTGCTTTGTATAATGGAATGCTCAAACAACGATCGCTAAGAACCCAATGTTCATTTTGATCAAAACTCTCTGTTTTTACCCTTTTTCTTTCTTCTTCTTTCGTTTCTTCTCTTCTTTTCTCTGTTTCAGGAAGAAAAAAAAAAGTGTGAAAAATCTAGCTTTTCTGTGGCTGTAGATGAACGGTAGAGATTCAGTCCCACCCACCCAACTTTTTTTTTTTTTTTTTTTTTTTTTTTTTTTTTTTTTTTTTTTTTTTTTTTTTTTTTTTTTTTTTTTTTCATTTCAGTAAAAAATCATAATGAAATTATGATAATTTCATTTTTCTCTCCTACATAGGATAAGTTTTGTCATATGGTTACGATATCAACATCGATGTTATTTTCCATACGAGTATAGCTTAGCAATTAAAATCTATATTGATCGACTTGCAACCAATAAAACATGGACCAATGTTCAATTTCATGATAACCTTTAACATGTAGATTTTTGCATTCTTTAACCGTTTTGAAAAGAAAAAAAAAAAGTTAGAAGGGTTTTTGTTGATTAGATCATTGGTCGAGTTTTGCTTGTTCATCGACTTGGGAGGTGGAAATAGTAAGAATGTTGGCAAGTCGTTGAAGATCGGACAAAGTAATCATTGCACGCTCGATTGAGTTCATATAGTCATCATTCTTCTCGTCCTATTGCCACAAAATTTCCCGAAAGAATTTGAAGTTTGGAACTTTATCCCAAGAGTTATCATCTTTTGGAACTCATGCAATGGTGTGTGATCATTTAGTTATGATTTACTTCTTCAGTCATGCATTGTACAAACGTGTACATTTGTGTTTTTTTCTTACATTCTTTTTCTTCGATTTCAATTGTATGAGTGCGTGCTATTGTTGGATCGGTATGGCAACCCTAGAGGGGGGGTGAATAGGGTTTTAACGATAAAAGTGTTCAAACTTGATTAATTTTTCTAATGATAAAACTTTTTACAAATAAGTAGAAGATGATAATTACTAAAACAAAATAATTCAAGTCAAAACAATAATCAAGTAGAACATGCAATAAACATAATAATAATCTTGAAATTAAATAGGAAAGAGTTAGAGAAAATGACACCGTAGTTTTATAGTGGTTCGGTCAAACTCGACCTACTCCACTCCCCAAGCGCCTCTTGGGAATTTGAATAAAGAACTTTTCCGACTCTTTCCACGGATCAGAGCCAAACCGGTACACCGCTCTTTTTACGAGTTCAAGAGCAAACTCAATCCTTTCAACGACGCAGGATCAAACCGATACAAGTATTTGAGTTTGATAATAACACACCACAACTCTCTCAAAGAGTAGATTTACAATTTGGGATACTGACAACTATTTCCTCACAATATAATAATAATCCCTCTCAAGAATAAGATGAAAAGAAATAAACTTGTAAGCTTGGAGAGAGCAATAAACAATGGAGACTTTGAACAAATGAGGATTGAAGAATGTATGTAAGTTGTATATCTTAAAAATGTGGGGAAGATGAGTTTATATAGAGGAGAAAAGTGGCAAAATGTAGGATTGAATATTGACCATTGGATTGTGTTAGGAATAATGGAAGGTGGAGATTAAAAGTAATTAAGTAAGAAAATTTTCTAAATTCATTTATTTCAAAATTTTAATATAATAGTAATATAATATAATAATAATAAAAAGTTATGTGAGTAACGGTAAAATGTAATTCAAAATTTATTATAAATATAATAATATAATAATAATAAAAATGATGTGAGTAACTACCAAAATTTTAAAATATAATAATATAATAATATAATATAGTAATAATAAAATTCGATGTGAGTAACGGTTATATTCAAATTTATATTTGTAAAAATAATTTTATTTAGAAATGTAATAATAAGAAAAACTCCACCATGTGTTACTCTTCCAATATTATAAATGTCATACTTTGATATATTTTGATTTGTCCATCATTTTGATTTTGTTGCCACATCATCACGTCGGGTATGTTGTCTCGACTCTAATTTCTTCGTTTTAGCTCTGATTTGAGTAATTGAAAAGTTGTTGTAATCGTTATTCCCGACCTTATACTGTGGACAGTTCAAAAAACTGAAAATAGTTAATAATTAAAAGTAGGTTTGTTATCATCAAAACATCAATAATTAATTCATTGAAATTAATTAATGTGAGATCAAGGGCCAATAAGCCAACAATCTCCCCCTTTTTGATGATGACAAATCATTTAAAGAAAAATTCATAAAAACCAATAATACAACATCCATGTAATAATATCACTACATACTAATATATTATCATAAATTTCACTCAAGAGCATATTCTCCCTTATATTAATGCCTCAAGAAATTATGAAACACCAAGTAAATGATTCATAAATTATAAAATAACAAATTTAGAACATATTTTTCTTAATTTTCTCCCCCTTTGTAATCATCAAAATGAACAATTGAAAGAGAATGCATTTAATAATGACATAATGGCTCCCCCTAAAAACATGCATTCAAAAATTATAAAATTCAAGATATATCACAACGAATAATACCAAGCTCAAGCCTATTTTTGCAAAAAATTTCTTCATTCAATGGCTTGGTGAAAATATCGGCCAGTTGATTATTAGAGTTTACAAAATCAAGAATAATATGTCCATTTTGCACATGCTCTCTAATAAAATGATGTCTAATGTCAATATGTTTAGTTCTAGAATGATGAATAGGATTTTTAGTTAAATTAATAGCACTTGTATTATCACAAAATATAGGCACACTATGAAACTTTAATCCAAAATCACAAAGAGTTTGTTTCATCCAAAGAATTTGAGCACAGCAACTAGCAACCGCAATATATTCCGCTTCGGTAGTAGATAAGGCAACCGAATTTTGCTTTTTACTAAACCAAGAAACTAAGGAACTACCAAGAAATTGACAAGTTCCACTAGTACTTTTACGATCAAGTAAGCTTCCGGCAAAATCTGCATCAGAATATCCTACCAATTTAAATTCAACATTTCTAGGATACCACAATCCTAGATCAATAGTTCCAAGCAAATATTTAAATATTCTCTTAACGGCATGTAAATGAGATTCCTTAGGACAAGATTGAAATCTAGCACAAAGACATACACTAAACATAATATCGGGTCTACTAGCGGTCAAGTAAAGTAAAGATCCAATCATACCTCGATAAGCTTTAATATCCACACTTTTACCTTTTTCATCCTTGTCAAGCTTAGTGGATGTGCTCATGGGAGTTCTTGCAATCTTACCTCCATTGAACTTGAATCTTTTGAGCAAATCTTTAGTGTATTTCTCTTGATTGATGAAGATACCATTCTTGAGTTGTTTGATTTGAAGTCCAAGAAAGAAACTGAGTTCTCCCATCATACTCATCTCAAACTCACTATGCATACATTTAGAAAATTCTTCACATAAAGAAGGATTAGTAGAACCAAATATGATATCATCCACATATATTTGCACTAATAGCATATCGTTTTCTTTAATCTTAATAAAGAGTGTAGTGTCGAGTTTGCCCATTTTAAAATCATTCCCAATAAGAAAATTACTAAGTCTATCATACCAAGCTCTTGGAGCTTGTTTTAAGCCATAAAGAGCCTTTTTCAACTTATAGACATGATGAGGAAATTCTACATTTTCAAATCCGGGAGGTTGTTCTACATAAACTTCCTCCATAATATAACCATTCAAAAATGCACTTTTCACATCCATTTGATATAATACAAAATTTTTGTAAGAAGCAAAAGCAAGTAACATTCTAATAGCTTCTAATCTAGCAACGGGTGCAAAAGTTTCTTCATAATCTATGCCTTCCTCTTGACAATAACCTTGAGCTACAAGCCTAGCTTTATTTCTAATGATATTCCCATTTTCATCCATTTTATTTCTAAAAACCCATTTGGTTCCAATAATAGAAGTATTAGATGGCCTATGGACTAATTCCCAAACTTTGTTCCTTTCAAATTGATTTAGCTCTTCTTGCATGGCTAAAATCCAAAACTCATCATTTTCGGCATCCTTAAGACTTTTTGGTTCAATTTGAGAAACAAAAGCAAGATTATTAAATAAATTAATAGAAGAGCGAGTTTTCACACCTTGTTCGAGATCACCAAGAATCAAGTCCTTGGGATGAGACAAGGCATACCTCCATTCTTTTGGCATTGATGAAGAACCTTCTTCCTTTAAGCTCATCTCTTCTTTACTCGTAACAATTTCTTTGCCGTTGTCACTAACGAGTAAATCTCCAAAATTTCTTTCTAAATCATCACTACAAATAGACTCATTAGAAATATTATTGCAAGATTCATCAAATACCACATGCATAGATTCTTCAATAACTAAAGTTCTCTTATTGAAAATTCTATAAGCTTTACTAGTAGATGAATAGCCAAGAAAAATACCAATATCCGTTTTTGAATCAAACTTTCCAAGCTTTTCTTTGTTGTTCAAAATAAAACATTTACAACCAAAAACTTTGAAATACCCAACATTTGGAATTTTGTTATGCCAGAGTTCATAAGGAGTTTTATTTAATGAAGGTCTAATTAAAACTCTATTTAAAATATAACAAGCGGTATTAACGGCTTCCGCCCAAAAATATTTAGGTAAATCATACTCATTTAACATTGATCTAGCAAATTCTTGTAAAGTACGATTTTTCCTTTCAACCACACCGTTTTGTTGAGGAGTCCTTGGAGAGGAGAAGTCATGAGAAAAACCATTATCTTCACAAAATTTTTCAAAGGCAACACTGTTAAATTCTCCCCCATGGTCACTCCTAATTTTAGTAATTAAAAACCCTTTTTCATTTTGAACTCTTTTTACAAAACTAGCAAATCTTTTCAAAACATCATTCTTATGTTTTATCATCAAAACCCAAGTAAATCTTGAAAAATCATCCACTATCACAAAAGCATAATAATTTCCTCCATAACTAGCTATTTTAGAAGGGCCAAATAAGTCTATATGGAGTAGTTGAAGAGGTCTAGTAGTAGAAATCATATTTTTAGATTTGAAAGAAGACTTAGTTTGCTTACCCATTTGACAAGCGTCACAAATTTTATCTTTTTCAAATTTAAGTTGAGGGAGACCTCTCACTAATGAATTTTTTGAAATATTTGAAA